TTCTCCTTCCTTCCTCTCCTCTCCTCTCCTCTCCTCTCCTCTCCGCTTTACCTCCTTTAAAGAAATCACCCTTCATTTCCCATCTTTATGAGTCTGTTCGCACGACCCCTGAACCCCAGAACTCGCCAGCCATAGCGAAACCGAGCCTGCTGCGCGCCGCTGGCCCAGATGCGGAACTCACGCTTGAGCGTGTGGGGCGAACGCGGAACGCAGCTTTCCTTCCAGAAGGCCCTTTAAGTTAATCACCAGCAAACCCGGGTCACGTCTCTCCTTGGTTCTTGTTTTCTATCTAGACCTTCTTTATCAAAAGGGGTGGGGGGATGATTCCATTGTAACCCCGGTATCCACCCCAAATCCAGCTCTTGCGGCCCCCAGACATCCCCTGATTGTGGCTTGTTGACAGGCCCCTCCAATTAAGCCACCCCCGAAAAGAAAAGACCATCGCTGGGAGTGGGGGTTGGGGAAATGGGCATTTTTGCTTGGCAGAGGAGAGCCTTCTAAGGACGCGAGCGGCTTGGGGAGCGCCGTTCTCCTTCCCCCGTCTTCAACTGGAATTGGACTGTCCACACGAGGTTGCAAGCCGATGAGAGATTCTTCCGAAGAGGCTTCCACCGCTGGCAGTTTGCGACGAGCAGGGAAGCGCGATTACGCACCTGCCGCGGGGAACAGATAACAACTTCACTGTTTAGCTGGACCTGGCGGGGCCAGACCTGGCCTCGGCCATCCCCACCGTCCGGCGTAAGCCGAGCGCAAAAGCCGAAGAGCGCCGGGCGAGCTGTCCGGCCCGCGCACCCTTGGTCAAGAACTGGATAGGGCGCTGCGCACCAGGCGCGCTTTCCCGTTGTGCTTCCTTCCTGAAACCGAGCCAGTTTCAACGGCGGAGAGGCCTGCCGCCTTCATAAGCTCTGGACAAGCTTCCGGGCCCTTTCCCGAGGCAGAACGAAGATGAACCGGTGTCCCGAAGCTAGTCCAGGGCTGTTATCTCCGGAGAACCAAGAACCGCCTCCGGACCGCCGCGACACCTTCGCCGCCCACGGTTCCTTTGCACCGGCGCGCAGCCGTTGGGCTGGGAAGGGCCGGCTTGTTTAGTTGGAGGATCCCTACGGAGTGGGGCGGGTGGGGGGAAACCAGAGGGCTGAGGTAGCAGAGAACAAGTGCAGGGAGGGTCGTCTGAACAGCTGGGGACATGGCAGTGTCTGTTTCGTGGTCCAGGCGTTTAAAACAATAGAGCTGCCTCCACCATTAGGATAGGCAACGTCAGTCCCTTAGCACTTCCCACTAGGATGGCGCTTTTCCCTAGAGATCCCCCCAAAACTGTCCAAAGTTGGGCGGCTGAGGACGAGCTGGTGTCTCTCTGAGCGGATATTGCATCCAATATCTGCCAACCCTTCAAAGAGGAGCGACCCTGCCTGCTTTTGATAAAACCCTGGTGAAGTCTCTTCATTCTGAAAGCAAACAAATAAACCAGCCTGAATTGGGATCTTGGAGCCACTTTGGGATCCCTGAGGGAGGGACACCATTTTCCAGGGGCGGTTGTTTTTCATGTCTACCATTACAAGATGCTAGTCCTCAGGACAGCCAGAGGGGGAATCTGAGAAAGCTCCATTTTAATCTTGGGGTTCTCTTCCTTCCCCAGGAACAAGGCAACGGCTCCTTTTAATTTAGCAGGTTAAATTTTAGACATGTGCTTGTTCCTGGCACACTCTTGATTCTTCAGATTGGCCAATTTCTCAGCCAAGCCAGTCAAAAACACACAAACCAGGTTTATGGTTCAGAAATTGTGCATGGTTGCCAATATAAAGGCACTCCTCTATGACACCCAGCTATTGTAGGGGAGATAGGCGGGAGAGAAATCCAATCAATAATAATAATAATAATAATAATAATAATTTATTATTATTATTATTATTATTATTATTAT